TGTCAATTCTCAGAGCTCTCATATTTGTTCTTTTTGCACTATCTTGGCTCTCCCCAAGTTAAAAGGGTAATCCAGACATGGACCCATGGACTGTGACTAGAGGGGTATCAGCTGTCATTCGCTGATGAGCAGGGCCGGTGCTATGATTTTTGTCTACATAGGCAAAGATGCATTTTAAAAACCCCCCTCCCCCGCACATCCAAAAAAAAAAAAACAATGCATCTTAACCTCTGTGTCTCATAGCCCCCCCTTTTGAATTTCTTACCCCCATTAGTGTTGCATATCCACTCTCTTTCCCCATTGGCCCCTTCATGCCTTACACCCCCCTTTAGTATGTCTCCTACAACCCCTCTTATGTATTTCTTACTTCCCCGCCAGCCCCTTTCTGTCTCTTTCTTCCCCCCAGCCCTTTCTATCTCTCTTTTTATCCCATATAGACATAGATACAAGCAAAAATACATACATGCACAAATGAACAAACATACAGACACACAACCATACAAGCACACAGACGTAATTATTCAGGCACACAGTCACAAAGATATTCAGACACAGTCATAAAAGGCACACAATCAAACAAACACAGTCATACAATCTACACATACAGGTACAGTGTCGTACAAACACAGACATACATTCATACAGGCACAGACATAAAGAAACAGACATTGGCATATTGAGACATACATACACAGTGATACAGAGACATACATACGCAGACAATCATAAAGAGACATACAGACAAGGCATACAGAAACATACATACACAGACAAAGAGCCCTGCACACTGATACCATGTAAATGCTCCGGCCATCCACAGTAGTGGATGCTCCGTGTCAGGCAGACATCGCTGGATCCACCAGTAAAGTCTTCAAAAGGAATAAATGCAGGCAGCACTCCAATAGTAAGGATGGTATATTTATTGATAGGTGAACCACCCCATAGAAAGTGTGACGTTTCGGCTCAGCAGAGCCTTAATCCAGCAATAAGGCTCTGCTGAGCCGAAACATCGCACTTTCTTTGGAATGGTTCACCTATCAAATATACCATCCTTACTATTGAAGTGTTGTTTGCGTTTATTCCTTTTGAATACATACACAGACCGTCATACAGACTGTATGTCTCTGTATGACGGTCTGTGTGTGTACACAGGATGGCTAAAAGATAGATCCCCATCTGTCGTGCAACTTCAACAATGCTTTGAAAGCTGGGGCTCTACCGATTCCCCATGCTTGCAGGATTGTATTTAGCATGGAGCAGTATTTGTGTGTTTGACTGTAAGCATGTGTTTGCATAGAGTATGTTGGTTGAATGTAGGGGTGAGTTTGTATGTAGTGTTTGCGTTTGAATGCAAGCATGCATTTAAGTGTAGTGTTGGTTTTTGAATGCAGGTGTGTGTTTATATATAATTTTGGTGTCTGATACAGAGGTGTGTTTGTATGCAGTGTTGAAGTTTGCATGCAGGTGTTTATTTGTGTGTAGTGTTGGTGTTTGAATGTTGAGATGTATACACATATACACACACACTGTTATACACATACACTGCCACACAAGCACACACTGTTATACACATACACGAAGATGCACACACTGACACACATGCAGATACACATATACACAAACTGATACACATTCAGATAGACAGACATACCGATACACACACATATACAGATACACACAAACACTGACATACAGACACACTGACAGACATACAGATACACACACAGACACACTGACAGACATACACACACATACACTGACAGACATACAGGCACACTGACACACACACCCACTGACAGACATATAGATAAACACAGACAGACATACACACAGATACACACACATGCTGGTCAAAATATACACTTTTCTAGCCATACACAGGAGGGTGGCTTATCTGGAATCCAGATTGCTACCTGAGGTAGTTGGGAGTTGGAGCTAGTCCTGCCCAGCACCCTTCCTCTCTGCTCTCTGCTTTAGTCTTCTTGGGAGGACGTCCTCCCATGCTGATGAGAAGGGGGCTGGCAGTAGCATTTCCCCTGCTGGGCGCCAGCCGCGCTGTGTGCTACTGAGGGAGCAGAAATATGACACGTTCATATCCCCGCCCCCTCCACACAGTCCGTGGCACTGCAGGGTGGCGCTCAGCCACGCTACAAGAAGTGACCAGCAGGAGAGGGGCGCTGTGAACTTCCCTCCTGCCGGCCACCCCGGGCTGGTGCGCCCTAAGACGGCCGCCTGTGCCGCCTTATGGACACACCGGCCCTGCTGATGAGGCCTAAAAAAGACCGAAACAATCGTCTTGGGTTGCTACATCTCTTGTGCAGAGAGAACTTGCCAGCATTTAGGTTCTGTATTTCCCATATGGATCAGTCTATTTACATTTTCTTTTTCGAATTTTCAAGTTTGCATACAAGCAGTGAAAAAACTATTGGTTTACAATTTCCATGTAACTAGATACATTTCTGACGTCGTTTCATTACAGTTTCAAATAAATTACATCAAATCGCACATTTCAGTTTAAACATTCTTATTTGTAGCAGTGGTTTCGTGAAGCAGACTGATAGTATGTCCATTATTTGGTCTTGAATATGTACACTGAGTGTGACAGGAGGAGTTCAGGGGTGGTCCCCTTGGGGGTTGTGTATCATAAGTTATGTGAAGTATTGTTATGTAGCAAGAACGAAATCCATTGTTTCCATGTTTGAGTGTATCTGTCCAGGTTTTTCGATTTGGAAGACGTAATTTCTTCCATTTGTCGTATACTCTCCACTCTGTGGACCCATTCTCTAATTGTAGGTGTGTTGGACTGTTTCCAGTGGACATATGGATCAGTCTGATATGCCTCGGAATAAGTTCTCTCTGTTATGACATAAGTGAGCAAAAGCATTTTTGAGACCTGAGTGTGAATTTACCAATGGACAACCTCTTGAGTTCCTTTAAGCTTTTGTCCATTCTCAGAGTTCTCATATTCTTTGTGTTTATATTGCTAAACACTTCCTGCTATAGCCATACAAATTCTTACCAGCAACCAGTATAAAAAACAGCCAGCTGACACTCTCAGCCAATTACAGCTGTCAGTTGCGACTCAAGTTAATGCTTCATCATTAGAGCAAGCAGCACAGAGGCAATGGGTTGCTGGGGTCCCTTGTTTAGCATCATTAAAACAGTAAAAATGGTTTAATGCTGGATGGAAGGATGGCACCAGGGGTCTCCAGACACTTTAACCACTTCAATTAGATGAAGCAGTTACAGTGCCTCTTTAAGGAATTAATAAAGCAAGTCATTGGCATGACTTACTCTTCTTCAAGTAATATCTGCAGCTGTAATTGAAGTCATTGAATGTTCAGAGTAGCCACTTTAGACATCATTAAGTCCTAGGTGTCCTATATTAGCTTTGGTCCCTATTTTTGGCACCAAAAGAACCCATGTTCCATGGGCTTAGAATTAGGTATTTAAGGGCCAGTAGAATCCTCCGTTAAAATAAATTGCCCTCTAGTGATTAGAAACTGGAGAGAGTTTATTTAGATTCACTTAAAGTAGAAGTTATCCAAATTCATTGGTTCCTTGGACAGATATTCACCCAAACATTAAGTGTATCTGCCACTGGTGACACAGATGAAAATTCCCATTAAAAAAAAATGTAAAAATAAAAACACACACGACCAGGTGTTTACAATATTCAAATTAAACAAAGGTGGATTGAATCCAACATAGTTATGCCCAATATTGTACAAATTACTTCCAATCTTCATTCTTTTTGTGTCCCTGCACAAAAAAAAAAAAAATAATCTCCATAAATAGTTTTGCTAAAAATGTTATATAACTTATTAATAAAATTTTAGGGGATACTAACCATCACCTTCCTTATACATTTTAAAAATAAAATGATTTAAAGACTAAGCAACTAATGCTGGTCTGCTATAGTATTCCGAGCAGCCAGTCTCAGAGGATCCAGTTACCTGCTTTTAAGTATGTCACATCTCATGTGATGGCTTTAAAAAAGAAAAAATCATAGACATATTGTTGCCAGAACTAGAAGCTTCGGGCCCTTGTTTTTTTTTTTTTTTCACCAGTGTCATGGTTCTTAAATCCTTGCGATAGTTCTGTTCTCTTGATCTTGGCTGATTCCTGGTTATTAGATTGTCTGCTCCTTAAAATATTTGGGGTTGGCAATGAAAAGAATCAAAGACTGCTAATGGACCTTTGGGTTTATATCCTGCTCCAGCTCTAATCTCTAATCAGTATGAAGTCTAACGTAACTCATAGAGTCCACCTAAATTCATTCAATATTCTCCCTGCTACAAAGTCCTATCCCTAATTGTTTTCCATCTTTTATGTAGAATTTTAGTTATTTACCAATTAATCCTTACATCAGGTGTGTACCTCTAAACATAAAAATGTACCTTAAATATTCAACTCCCCTTTGATAAATCCCCCCCCCCCCTCACTACTCCCCCCAGTAACTAGAACCCATATCAGGATCATGTTAAAAAGTCCTCTCCTAAAATTTGACACCTAAACATTATTGGAAAAATCTTTACTACAGGTAACCCAAAATAGCAATTTTTCAGGAAACAGACTCCAATTGCTTGACATAAACTTATATTAAATGTATTGAAGCAGAATTAGTTCTACAGTTAAGCTTGTTTTATGGATTGAATCTTAAATCCATTAATCTATTGAGGAAAGAGTTATCCAATCATTTATGTCTCCTCGTGACTCGAATTTCACAATAAAATGTGAATTTAGATTAAATATAAGTCATTGGGTTCTCTTACCATTTTACATGATGAGGTCTAAGAGGCTTACCAAAATCTTGTCTGTACAAAAGTAAATCTCTTCTCTCCCGTATGATAAAATAAAAGCAACGACCACATGGCGTGATTGTGTTTTTCTTTCATTTAACTGCGTGTGTTAGAAAATTCTTGGACCAGCCACTGAGTAAAAAATTTTTTTGCTTTCAGAAAATTGATGGAACATGACTTTTGCAGTAAAAAGGGGAGAGAAAAGGTTGGGATAACACAAACTGGCTTCACAGCAAGAGAGAGATTTCATCACACCCATTCTAATCAGTGCAAAAACAAGATTTTTTCAACTTCATAAAAATGAACAGCGTGGCTCCTTCTACTATGGAAACGGTTTTCACGCTGACTGAACGAAAGCATTAGAGAACTGAAAGGTTTTCCACGTAAAATATTGTTTGGAAAAGCCTTAGGACGCACATTAATTTCATCGGGCATTAATTTTTGAATGGAAACTGGTCTACGGTACAATTACTAGTGATTACTTTCGAGTAGCATTGAGTTTACGTTAACTCCTTTATGGGCGAGAGAATAAGGTTAAAATGTTTAGGGTTCTGTTTTTGTAATTAAAGAATTTATTGAACTTTTAAAAACACAATAAGCACAGAAGAAATTAAATTCATGAATAAACCAGATAACATTTATTCTGCAAGTCTTGATTCCATCTAGTATATTACGGAACATGTAGAAGTACAATCAATTCTCAAAATTATTACAGTACATCATGTAATTTGTTTAGTTATTGCATCAAGCGTTGAATCTCATAGACACAGGGTGCGTTTCCAGAAGAGTCAATTCAGCTTTTAATCATTTGTAAGCCAACGCCGAACTGTCATGTTTCTTGTTTAGTTTGTTTTGTTTATATTTTTTGTATCTTAACCCCTTAAGGACACAGCTTCAGAAGCTTGTCGTACGCTTAAGGACAAAGGCCATTTCTGCATTTTTCTGCTGTTTGAAGTTAAACGTAATTTGCATCAACACATATTATACATCGTTTTTTAGAGGGCAAACAAGGTTTTAATTTGATGTCACATATACATAGATACATTGTCATTAATTATATAAAAATGCCAAAAAGGTGAAAAAAATAAATTTTTTTCACAGTTTTGGCAATAACAGCGTGTGCATAAGATGTCAAGCTTAGAAAAAGTAATTCAAAATAAATTAATTTATGTGTCTTGATTTTCAGAGTACAACATATGTATAGGATTTCAGCTTATTTTGAAAGCTACAGGTCACAAAATACAAGGACTAAAATTAAATTTCAGTTTGCAACAATTTTAGAATCTGGTATGTTTGTCTTGTAGGTTTAGTAGCCATCACAGAAAACAAAATTGCCACACAAAAATATATATTTATATAAAGTAGACATCACGGGCTATTTACCTAAGGTTAGTTTGACACTTTTTACTTAGCCATTTCAAGTAAAATTGTGTTTTTTCTTTATTTTGGCATATACACATAGAACAAGGTTTTTGTAATGTGTATTTCGTAAACCTGGTGTGTGCTATTTCTGCACAGAACCCCATATTGTGTTCAGCTACATCTGTTGAGTATAACAATATCCCCATTGTATGCCTTTGGCACTATTCTGTAAAGCTACAATGCCATATGAGACAAGGCTAGATCAGTTTCTATAGTTAGAATTTTCGTAGATGAATTTGACGGGCCTATGTCTCATTTTAGGGTATTGTAGCAGTTTGACTGTTCAAATAACCCCACAAAGGGCTTTCACTTGATAAAGCAGACACCCCAGGGCATCTTATATGGAGTATATTGTGCCTTAACTTGTCACCATTTTTTCACCAATTTATGTCAATTTTTGTGGTGGGGGGGGAGGGGGGAATGGCATATTTACATATATGTTGCATTTTTTATGAGTATTTCTTACACTTAATATGTACCACTGTCATAAAAATCCCCAAATTATACTCAGTTACACCTTCTAAGTAAAACAATATGCCCAATGTATAACCTAGACACTATTTTGTGAAGTTACAGTGCTGTAAGAGGGACGTGACAAGTTCAGGTTTTTAAGTGTGAATTTTCATGGAGGGTTTTGATGCGTCAGTGTCCCAATTTGGAGCACTTGAGCAGGCTACATATTACAACTACACCATAAAGCCATACCATTTCTTAAAGAAGACATCCCAGGGTATTTCAAAAGGCATATTTTGAATCTTAGCGTGGGATAATTTTTCCGCTAGCTTGTACCAGGTGTAGTGGTGGTAAACATTTTTTCTGCCTTTTTGACACACAAAGTGAATTTGCACAGTATATTTTGCAAACCTTATGTGTGCTACGACTGTATAATACTTCATATGTTGCTCAGCTATGTCGTATGAGTACAGCAATACCCCCATATGTACCTTTGCCAGGTATATGTGGCATTTAAAACATTGAAGACACAGCCATTCAGTGTTTTTCTAACTTTGAAGTTTTACGCTGTGTCCATGTTCCATTTTGGAGTAGTTTAGATAGTTGGTTATTGAAACTTCCCCACAAACACATATTTATTAAAGAATACACCCTGGGGTAATTGAAAAGGCATATTTTGAACCATAGCATGGGATCATTTTTTCTCTAGTTTGTTCCAGGTGTAGTGGTAATGAGCATTTTTAAATGTATTTAACTTTTTAAAACTTTTTAAAACTAGTTTTTAAACTTTTTGTTTGCTTATTAATTTTTTTAAACTTTCCTAAACTTTCTTAAAACTTTTTTTTTTACAGATTTAACATTTTTATGAGGTTTTTTTTACCATTAACCCCTAACTAGCAGTAAGCAGCACTAACGGTAAATCCCCAATTTCCCATAACTCCCACCCACCCCAGCTAGCAAAATGTATAATTTTAAAATATGTAAATTAATTAATTAGCCATTCCAGTTTTTTTTCCAAACTTAATTTTTACACTGTGCCCATGCCCCATTTTAGAGTATTTTACCAGGCTATATAATCCAAACACCCCATAAAGCCATACCATTTCTTAAAGAAGACACCCCAGGGTATTTCAAACGGCATATTTTGAACCTTAGTGTGGGATCATTTTTCCGCTAGCTTGTACCAAGTGTAGTGGTAATAAGCATTTAAGCATTTTTTCTGCCTTTTTGACACACAAAGTGAGTTTGCACAGTATATTTTGCAAACCTTATGTGTGCTACGACTGTATAATACTACATATGTTGCTCAGCCATGTCGTTGGTGTACAGCAATACCCCCGTGTGTACCTTTGCCAGGTATATGTGGCATTTAATACATTTAAGACACAGACAGTTTTTTGCTAACTTTGAAGTTTTACACTGTGTCCATGTTCCATTTTGGAGTAGTTTAGATGGTTGGTTATTAAAACTTCCCCACAAACACATTTATTAAAGAATACACCCTGGGGTAATTCAAAACATATTTTGAACCTTAGCGTGGGATCATTTTTTTCTCTAGTTTGTTCCAGGTGTAGTGTTAATGAGCATTTTTAAATGTATTTAACTTTTTAAAACTTTTTCAACTTTTTAAAACTAGTTTTTAAACTTTTTTTGCTTATTAATTTTTTTAAACTTTCTTAAAACTTTTTTTTTATTTATTTTTTTTACAGATTTAACATTTTTAGAAGCTTTTTTTTTTTACCGTTAACCCCTAACTAGCAGTAAGCAGCACTAATGGTAAATCCCCCAATTTCCCATAACTCCCAACCACTCCAGCTAGCAAAATGTATAATTTTAAAATATTTAAATTAATTAATTCAATAAATTGAACCCCTGATGGTTAAATAAATAAATAAATAAGTTAACCCTAAGGGGTTAAAAATAAAATCTGATCACAGTATAATACTGTGATCGGTATTTTGATCACTGTAGGTAGTGATCAACTGGCAGGGAATGGGTTAATTTTTATTAGGACTGGGTAAAGGAGGGTGGGATTTTTTTGTCCTTTTTAAAAAAATTTTTATTAAAACACTTTTTTAACGTTAACCCCTAGCTGGCCTAACACAAAATTCCCCACTAATATCCACCCACCCCAGCTAGCTAAATATATTATTTTAATATATTTAAATTAATAAAATTAACCCCTGAGGGTTCCAAAAAAAAAAAAAATCAGCTCTGATCCGTCTCCCTGCACTTCACACAGAACCCGGAAGTGCAGGGAGGTGGATGGTAAGTCCCTGCAGCACATGTGCTCGCTCTGACAGCCTGTCAGAGCGATCACTGCTGCAGGGGCAGGGCAATAGGGTGCTCCTGGTCTGCCTCTAATACATCTGGCAATCTGGCGTTAACTTTACTGCATGACGGACCTGGTCCGACGGGAAGGTGTTAAAGGAACACTATAGTGTCAGGAATTCAAACATGTATTCCTGACACTATAGCTTTAATAGCACCTTTTAGGTGGCTGGCTTCACTCTCCCTGCAGTAAAAAGGTATTTTACTCACCTGTGGCTGGCTTCACCTCCATGGCTAAGATCAAACTTTATGATCTCAGCCAATCAAATGCTTTCCCATAGGAAGATATTGTGATGCTATTGCGCATGTGCAGCAAAATGCAATGCTGTTCCAATCAGCATCTCCTCAGAGATACATTGAATCAAGAGCATGGCAGTGCTGAACGTGGTGCTGCACATTGTGCAGCACTGATACAGGAAGCGCCTCTAGTGGCCTTCTGAGTGACTACCCATAAAGGTGTTACTAGGCTATTTTCTCTAAAAGAGCAGCATTTACAGTTCTCAGCTGCAGGTACAGGCCATTAAACTGTAGTTGTTCTAGTGACTAAAGTCCATTTAATGATTACACTCCCCCTATTGCCACTTGCCTTGATTTATTTTCTATTCTTCTGTGCACTTGATTTAAATACCTGGCGCCTCCATTTTTTGCCCTCTGTCCACGATGTCTGCAGTTTGCCCTTCTGTCTGATTCTTTTGACTGATGGATTGTGGGTAAATTAGCTTAACAACTGAAAGTTAAATTGATAAATTGTTCCTATGTTTTTATATATATATATATATATATATATATATATATATATATATATACACACACACATATATATACACACATATACAGTTGCAAGAAAAAGTATGTGAACCCTTTGGAATGATATGGATTTCTGCACAAATTGGTCATAAAATGTGATCTGATCATCATCTAAGTCACAACAATAGACAATCACAGTCTGCTTAAACTAATAACACACAAAGAATGAAATGTTGCCATGTTTTTATTGAACACACCATGTAAACATTCACAGTGCAAGTGGAAAAAGTATGTGAACCCCTAGACTAATGACATCTCCAAGAGCTAATTGGAGTGAGATGTCAGCCAACTGGAGTCCAATCAATGAGATGAGATTGGAGGTGTTGGTTACAGCTGCCCTGCCCTATAAAAAACACACACCAGTTCTGGGTTTGCTTTTCACAAGAAGCATTGCCTGATGTGAATGATGCCTCGCAC